TTACTCAGCATAATGTCTTCAAGCTCCATCCATATTGTAGAATGTATCAAGACTTCATATCTCCTACTGGCTGAGTAGTATTCCATGGTATGTATGTACCACACTTTGTTTATCTGTTTGTCTGTTGATGGGCATTTAGGTTGTTTGCATCTTTTGGCTATTGTGAATAGTGCTGCAAGAAAAATTGGTGTACGTATGTCAGTTCGAATATCTTCTTTTATGTCCCTTAGGTATATTCCTATTGGTGGAATTGGGTCATATGGTAGTTCTGTTTTTAGTTTTCTGAGGAACCACCACACTGTTTTACACAACGGCTCTACCACTTTACATTCTCACCAGCAATGGATAAGGGTTCCAATTTCCCCACATCCTTGCCAACATTTGTTACTTTCCTTTTACCATTTTAATGGAGGTGAAAGGGCATCTCATTATAGTTTTCTTTTGCATCTCTCTGATGTCCAGTGACGTTGAGTGTGTTTTCATGTGTTTGTTGGCCATTTGAATATCCTCTTTGGTGAAATATCTGTTCAAATTCTTCACCCATTTTTTGATTAGTTTGTCTTTTTGTTGTTAATTTGTTGACATTTTATATATATTTTGGTTATTAGATACAGGATTGTTTTCTTAAAGGGAGAAACCTTGTTCCTAGTGCAGAAATGTGCAATTGAAGAGCTGCCGACCTGGGTGTCTGATGGGCTTTACAGTTGGGTGGGGTCCGTTTAAGGCCACTGTGTGGGGTTGCGCTTCCCCCTAGCTTGTTTCTGTTTCTGGGGAGAGCTTGCACTGGTTTTGCGGAGATCCAAAGAGCAGAAGAGAACAGGCAATTCTCTGTCTCCTTGCTCTTCCTTTGGCAAGCCAAACTCTGCCTAGGGAACTGGAAGGGCCTGTGTCCTCCCCTGTCAGCACATAGTCATCGTAATTCTCACTCGTTACAAGGGCAGAAGCTTTGGGATATCTCAGCTCTGATGGTTCCCTCTCCACAAGCCAACCCTAGTGCCAGCCTCTAAGAGGCTCTTTTGTGCTAGACCAGTGAGTGGTGGGGTCTCGCTGGGCAGCCTGCTGATGACAGGGCCCTCCTGGGTGAGGGTAGATGGAATGGCCTGGGCTGCTGGGGAAATGGCCCATGGACCAGCAAGTGGGGCCCTTCTCTGTACGTCAAAGGTGAAGGAGATAAAATTATCAAAAATGCTGCATGTGTTTTGGCTGACATGCTGTGAATAGAGAAGAGTTGGTAGAAAGAAGACTCTTGCTTTATCTGTTAGCTTTTTCATTGCTTTATCTGTTAGCTTTTTCAAAGAACACGAGTGAAAGATTGTGGATAATGTATAACATGCAAGTAAGATTCTAGGAAAGAATTACGGAGATGATTTAGACAAAACATGTAAAACTATAGGGTTCAAATTTAGTCAGTAGCAAATCCCCATGCATAACTTAAGGGGGAGGGTTATTTATTACATGGTGTGACTTCATTCCAATCTCTTCCCGTAACAAATACCTATGATATGAACGTGATCTCAGTAGTCAGTTATCATTTCTTCATAGTTTAAGGCATTTATTTTTGACAAATGCTATTGGTAATTTGTAAAATAGTTAACCTGGTCTTGAAAACATAATACATGGCTTGGGTGGAGACTTGTTGTTCTTAGGTGCCGTCGAGTTGGTTCTGACTCATAGCGATGCCATGTACAACAGAACAAAACACTGCCTGGTCCTGCGCCATTCTCACAATCGTTGTTGCGCTTGAGCCCGTTGTTGCAGCCACTGTGTCAGCCCATCTCGTTGAGGGTCTTCTGCTTTTTTGCTGACCCTCTACTTTACCAAGCATGATGTCCTCCAGAGAATGGTGCCTCCTGATAACACGTCCAAAGTACGTGAAATGCAGTCTCACCGTACTTGCTTCTAAGGAGCATTCTGGCTGTACTTCCAAGACAGATTTGTTCATTCTTCTGGCAGTCTATGGTATATTGAATATTCTTTGGCAGTACCACAATTCAAGGCATCAATTCTTCTTCAGTCTTCCTTATTCATTGTCCAGCTTTCACATGTATATGAGGTGATTGAAAACACCATGGCTTGGATCAGGCACACCTTAGTCCTGAAAGTGACATCTTTGCTTTTTTAACACTTTAAAGAGGTCTTTTGCAGCATATTTGCCCAATGCAATGCATTGTTTGATTTTTTGACTGCTGTTTCCATGAACATTGATTTTGGATCCAAGTAAAATGAAATGCTTGTCAACTTTAATATTTTCTCCATTTACCATGATGTTGCTTTCTGATTCAGTTATGAGGATTTTTGTTTTCTTTTTGTTGAGGTGTAATCCATACTGAAGTCTGTGGTCTTTGATCTTCATCAGTAAGTGCTTCAAGTCCTCTTCAGTTTCAGCAAGCAAGGTTGTGTCACCTGCATAACGCAGGTTGTTAATGAGTCTTCCTCCAATCCTGATGCCCCATTCTTTTTCATATAGTCCAGCTTCTCAGATTATTTGTTCAGCATACAGATTGAATAAGTATGGTGAAAGGACACAACCCTGATGCACACCTTTCCTGACTTTATACCACACAGAATCCGCTTATTCTGTTTGAATGACTGCCTCTTGGTCTAAGTACAGGTTCTGCATGAGCGCAATTAAGTGTTCTGGAATTCCCATTCTTCGCAATGTTATGCATAATTTATTAATGATCCACACAGTCAAATGCCTTTGCATAGTCAATAAACACAAGTAAATATCTTCCTAGTATTCTTTGCTTTTAGCCAGGATCCATCTGACATTAGCAATGATATCCTATGTTCCATGTCCTTTTCTGAATCCTGCTTGAATTTTTGGCAGTTCCCTGTCGATGTACTACCACAGCTGCTTTTGAATGATCTTCAGCAAAACTTTACTTGTGTGTGCTATTAATGATATTGTTCAATAATTTCTGTGTTGTGTTTGATCACCTTTCGTTGGAATGGATACAAATATGGATCTCTTACAGTCGGCTGACCAGGTAGCTGTCTTCTGAATTTGTTGGCACTTCCCATGCTGCATCCATTTGTTGAAACATCTCAGTTGGTATTCCCTCAGTTCCTGGAGCCTTGTTTTTTGCCAGTTTCTTCTCTGCAGCTTGGACTTCTTTTAGTATCATTGATTGTTGATCATATACCACCTCCTGAAATGGTTGAACATGGACCATTTCTTTTTGGTACAGTGACTCTGTGTATTCCTTCCATCTTCTTTTGACGCTTCCTGTGTCGTTCAATGTTTTCCCTATAGAATCCTTGAATATTGCAACTGGAGGCTTGAATTTTTTTCTTCAGTTCTTTCAGCTTGAGAAATGCCAAGCATGTTCTTCCCTTTTGGTTTTCTAACTCCAGGTCTTCGCATATTTCATTATAATACTTTACTTTGTCTTCTCAAGCTGCCCTTTGAAATCTCCTGTTCAGCTCTTTTATGTGATCTTTTTTTTTTTTTTTTTTCCCACTTTAGCTGCTCTGCTTTCAAGGGCAATTTTCAGAATCTCTTCTGACATTTATTTTGGCCTTTTCTTTCTTTCCTGTCTTTTTAATGTCCTTTTGCTTTCTTCATGTGTGATGTCCTTGATGTCATTCCACAACTCATGTGGTCTTTGGTCATTAGTGTTCAGTGCATCAAATCTATTCTTGAGATGGTCTCTAAATTCAGGTGGGGTATACTCAAGGTTGTACTTTGGCTCTCATGGACTTGTTCTAATTTTCTTCAGCTTCAGCTTGAATCTGCATATGAGCAATTTGATGATCTATTCCACAGTTGGCCCCTGGCCTTGTTCTGACTGATGATATTGAGATTTTCCATTGCCTCTTTCCAGAGATGTAGTGGATTTGATTCCTGTGTTTTCCATCTGGTGAGGTCCATGTGTATAGTCACCATTTATGTTGTTGAAAAAATATATTTGCTATGAGATCTCCGACATTGTTTCTATCACCAAGGCCACATTTTCCAACTCCTGTTTCTTCTTGGTTTCTGACTTTCATAATTATTAATGCATCTTGACTGCATGTTTGATCAATTTCAGACTGCAGAAGTTGGTAAAAATCTTCAGTTTCTTCATCTTTGGCAGTAGTGATTGGTGCGTGAATTTGAATAGTCCTATTAACTGGTCTTCCTTGTAGGCGTATGGATATTACCTATCACTGACCTGGCTGTATTTCAGGATAGATCTCAAAATGTTCTTTTTGACGATGAAGGCAGTGCTATTCCTCTTCAATTTGTCATTCCTGGCATAGTAGACCATATGATTGTCCGATTCAGAATGACCAGTATCAGTCCATTTCAGCCTACTAATGCCAAGGATATCTGTTTTTATTCATTCCATTTCAATTTTGGCGATTTCCAATTTTCCTAGATTCATACTTTGTACATTCCATGTTCCTGTTATTCAGGCATGTTTGCAGCTGTTTCTTCTCATTTTGAGTCATACTACATCTGTAAATGAAGGTCCCCAAAGCTTGATTCCATCCATGTCATTAAGGTCGATGTTCAGCCAAGATCCATCTGACGTCAGCAATGATACTTTGAGGAGGCAGCTCTTCCCCAGTTGTATTTTGAGTATCTTCCAACCTGAGGAGCTCATCTTCTGGCTCTGTATCAGACAGTGTTCTGCTGCTATTCATAAGGTTTTCACTAGCAAGTTTTTTCAGAAGTAGACCGCCAACTCCTTCTTCCTAGTTTGTCTTAGTCTGGAAGCTCCACTGAAACCTGTCCACCATGGGTGTCCCTGCTGGTATTTGAAATACTGGTGGCATAGCTTCCAGCATCACAGCAACACGAAAGCCACCACAGTATGACAAACTGACAGATGCGTGGGATGGTGGAGATTTGGGTGCTTGTTATTTCTTAATTAATAACGGTGTTTCATGGTCTTTAATGCCTCATAAAGTCCCTTACTCATCATTGTTATTCACATGTCTCGAGTTTATGGGTAAATTGATGACTATCTCTCAGTGTTTCATTAATCATTTCAATTGTTTTAACTTTTTAGGATGTTGAAAGCCAAAATAAAGCATCAGGTCCAGAACCTCAGTACCTGGATGAATTCACCAGTCTGTTAGTAGCAGATGACACCCGGGTCCTGGTGGACCTGCTCAAGCTGTCTGTCTGTAGCCGGGCTGGGGACAGGGGCAAGGATGTGCTCTCAGCTGTTCTGTCTGGCATGGGCACTGCATACCCCCAGGTGAGTCATGCTCTCTTCTCAGCCCTGGGGCGGCCTTCTCCCAGGGACACTGCTGTTGGCAGTACACAGTACCTTCTGCTTACTTTTGTTCTAGTGGCAGTAGTTCAGAAGGATTCCTCCTGAAACAACATGTGGTTAAAATCCTAGTGACATCCTTTACCCATTGTGGAGCCAGTTTGAGGATTTTTTCTTATTCATTTGTTAGAGTTCTTAAAATACCCCCTTTTTATTGTTACGTTGTGTGATTTTTCCTGAGTTTGCTTTTTAAAATTATTCAGATATTTATACTAATGTCGAACTTTCTAATTTTTATGTAATGAGATCTGCCAGTTTTTTCATTTGTGGCCTCTAGGTTTTGTGTTATGCTGAAGAAATGCTTATGTATATGACATTGTTTTAAAGAAATTCTCCCAAGTTTTCCTCTAATCATTCTTACAGTTTTATTTATAACATAATACATTTTTATCCTGTCTGGGATTTATCTTTGATGTAAGGAATAAGGGAGGGATCCAACTTTATTTTTTCCTGTATGGCAAATCGGTTGTCCCAATATCATTTATTGAATAATCCATCTTTTCCCTAGTGATTTGTGAACCTCTTTTATCGTATTTTAAATTCTTACATATATATATTTGGGTCTGTTTATGGATTCGTTTTTGTTCCTTTGATGTAACTCTTTATGCTGCAGTACCAGTGTATACTAAGTATGCCAGTGTATACTAAGTGCTATAACTTTATAATGTGTTTTAATGTTTGCTAGCACTGGGTCCAATAGAACTTTTTGCAGTGGTGGAAATGTTCTGTATCTGAGCTATCTAGTACAGGAACCATCAGTTACACGTGGCTGTTGAACACTGGAAATATGGCCAGTGTACCTGAGGAACTGAAGTTTTAATTTTATTTAACTTTAACTTATTTATGTTTAAATAGCCATATATGCAATTCGCTATTTAATTAGTCTAGTCCAAAGATCTAGAGTATAAAGTTTAAGTGTCACAACAGTAAATCTTAGCAATAGGATTGATGAGTCCTAACAGCCTTTGGGTTTCTCAAAGGGCTCTCATGTATCAAAGCCTTGCTCTGCCTCCACAGTTTGGCAGTCTGAGGGGCCTAACCCAAATTCTCCATCCCCTACCTGAATTGCTGATATTTGATCCCTGTTTCTTTAGGCCCCAGAGTACAACCACCAAATCATTAAAGCACTTAACTACAGTTAACTAGTCTTGAAAACAGTACATGGCTTGGTGAATAATTTAGGGGGGTGCCATTTCTTAATTCACCTAGTATTGAGGAAGATATAAAATGTTACCGCTTTCCTACTTTCTAGTTTTTTTAGACAAATTACTTGGGATAATATTACTTTTTTCCACAAATGTATTCATTTGTGAGAGATGAGGGTGTGAATGAGAAGTTTGGTATAAAGTAATGTGTCTGGCCTTTGCGCCCGCATGCATGCCTGGCCCAGTTCTGAGCACGTTCTCAGTGTAGCCATCTTTACCTCGCTGGTAGGTAGAACTTTTATTTACAGGTGAGGAAACTGAGTCTTGAAGTAGTTGTTCTGGGCTCAAGGATGCAACCTACTAGTAGGTGGCAGAGTTGGGGTTTGAACTCTTAGCTCTGTGTCTGACCCTCTGTCACCCTCTCCTCAGAAGCCTATTGGGCTTGGCTTTGTCTGGACTGTTGTTACTTAGGCAGAGAAAGCGCCTGACCCCAGAAGACCCCGATAGACTCCACAGATAGGACTTTGATGATGCCATCATCTTCTTTTCAGTAACTCAAACCAGATTGAAGGGAGTAGGGGGCAGAAATAATGGTATGACTGTCTTCAAATTGTCCTTGCCAGTGGCAAGATGGTTATTCCTATGTCTACTGTGACTTAACATTTGGGACTGTTAATAACACCCATTAGAATTTATAATGATAATACCTATGTGGTAATAATAGTAGTTTGTAACTGTTTACTAAGCTAAGCTATTTGTTATCTGTTCTTGTGTGCTGTTGAGTTGATTCCAACTCATAGTGACCCTATAGGACATAGTAGAACTGCCCCGTAGGGTTTTCTAGGCTGTAAATCTTTATGGAAACAGATTGCCAAATCTTTATCCCACCGAGTGCCAGGTAGGTTTGAACCACTGACCTTTAGCTTAGGAGCTGAGCCCTTAACCATTGTGCAACCAGGACTCCTTCAGTGTGTTATCTAGTTAGGAAATAACAGAGAAAAATAATCATCTGTTCCTGGAAAGTACAGAATGGACTTTGCATGGAGACTAGTCTTATTTTTTCTGAGTTAAACAATTTCTGGGTTGATACATTATTGTTATTTTTAACACATTGTCAGTTGTTTTGAAAATAATAACTGATGGAGTTTATTATCACTTATATTAACCACTTAAATGGTGTGAACCACTAAATAGGACACTAAAGATTGTTGAGAGTGTGGAGTGGAGTTTGACCCAGTTGTGTTCCTGTTTGTAACCTCTCTCGTCTCAGATATTCTGACTGCCACTGTTTTGCCTGGTAGACTTGAATGTTCTCTGTCCCTGCCACCTCCCACTTGACCCCCAATGCTTTATATAGGATCTTGGTAATTTTTATCACCTTTCTGCTCTTTCTTGATATTTTTGTTCCTGAGGCAGATGTTCCTCACTAGGAAGTAATGTCTTGATATAAAAAGAAACTTGTCACCAAAGGTTTTTCATTTTATCTGTTGGCACATATTGAGTGTCCTCAGTGTCGGGCACCTCCCGACTGTTTTTATCTATATCATCGCTGAGATTCATGGCAACTTTGCAAGCTCTGTACTGTTCTGATTCTGTAGGTGAGGCAGCTAAGCTAGTAAGTTGCCAAGCTCTGATTTGAACTAGATTTCTCAGACCCCTCCACTCTGCCTCACTGTCCCTTGTGGAAAGATCTGGAGCAGGCAAAGCAGGGTTAGTGTCCTGACAATGAGACCATTTGAGTGTTCTTTTTACCCAGGTATGATGGCCCATTGACGTCCTCATGTGATCCCTGCTTCCTCTCCCAGGTGGCCGACATGTTGTTGGAGCTCTGTGTAACTGAGTTGGAGGATGTGGCGACAGACTCGCAGAGTGGCCGCCTTTCCTCGCAGCCAGTGGTGGTGGAGAGCAGCCATCCCTACACCGATGACACATCAACCAGTGGCACAGTGAAAATACCAGGTACACAGGACCGAATGCTGCGGAGAGGATGGAAGGAAGGTGCTACCTTGAGAGTCTAAGCTGAATTCCTGTAATTGCATTGGTAGAAACAACCACCATAGTTTTTGTAGAAAAGAAATGATGGAATTGCTTGTTGCTCATTTTTTTTGGTGGGGGATCCTTTTTGCAAAATAAGTATGAGACATAAAGCCACACAAAATAAATTATTTGTTTAATGCCTGTCAGGTGGATGCCCTGGTGTAAACAACCCTCAGCTCTAGAAATAGCCCTGTGACAGCTCCCAGAAGCCCTCTGTGTGTCCAGTCACAGTTCTGTCCTGTTAAAATGACACTCTCCCAACTGTGTACCATCACTGAGTTGTGTTTCTGGACAGTTCCTATCACCTAAGCGAGCGTGCATCGCCTTTTAAATCTCTTTACTCTGTAATTTCTATCTTTTGCTTTTAAGTTTCTTTTAATCTGTAGTTTCTTTTCTTAATTGTGGTAAAATATATGTAATAAACATTTGCCATTTCAGTATTTTTTATGGGTACAATTCAGTGAAATTAATTAGGTTCATCATGTTGTGCAGCTTACCACCACTATCCACTAACACATTTTCTGTCACCCTTCACTGAAGCTCAGCACCTCCTACACAGGCTCCTTTTTACCTCCCCTTCCCAGCCCTGTTAACTACTAATGAACTCGGGTCTCTACATTCGCCTAATCTGGATACTTCACATAAGTGGGCCATAGAGTATTTGTCCTTTTGTGACTTATTTTGCTCAGCATAATGTTTTCAGGGTTCATCCGTGTTATAGCACGCATCAGGACATCATTTCTCTTTAGGGCTCAGCAACAGTCCATTGTGTATACCAGATTTTGTTTATCCTTTCATTTTGTTAATGGACGCTTAGATTGTTTCCACCTTTTGGCTATTGTGAATAGTGCTGCAGTGAACATTGGTATACAGGTTTCTGTTTGTGTTCCTGCTTTCAGTTCTTTTAGGTGTATACCTAGGAGTGAAATTGCTGGGTCATATGGTAATTCTATGTATAACTTTTTGAGGAACTGCCAAAATATTTTCCACAGAGGCTGCATCATTTTACAGTCCCACCAGCTGTGGGTGAGGGATCCAGTTTCTCCCCTCCTCACCAACATTTATTGTTTTCCACATTTTTGATTATAGCCATCCTAGGGGCCCTGGTGGTGCAGTGGTTAAGAGCTCAGGCTGCTAAACAAAAGGTCAGCAGTTGGAATCCACCAGCCACTCCTTGGAAACCCTATGGGGCAGTTCTCCTCTGTCCTATAGGGGCACTATGAGTTGGAATTGACTCAGCGGCAACAGGTTTGGGTTTTTTTTGGTTTTGTGTTATCTCATTGTGATTTTGATTTGTGTTTCCCTAATGGCTAAAGAAGGAACCCTGGTGGCACAGTGGTTAAGAACTTGCCTGCTAACCAAAGGTCAGCAGTTCGAATCGACCAGTTGCTCCTTGGAAGCCCTATGGGGCAGTTCTACTCTATCCTGTAGGGTCACTATGAGTTGGAATTGACTTGACAGCAACAGGTTTGGTTTTTTTTTTTGCTTTGGTAATGACTAATGATGTTGAACATTCTTCCATGTTCTTGTTGACCATTTGAATATTTTTCTTTGGTGAAATGTCTGTTCAAGTCCTTTGTCCATTTTTCCATTGGGTTGTTTGTCTTTTTGTTGTTAAGCAGGAGTTCTTGATATAATTCTGGGTATTAAACCCTTGTCCATTATATGGTTCCCAGATTTTTTCTACCAATCTGTGGGTTGTTTCTTCACTTTGTTGATAAAGTCCTTTCGTGCACACAAGTTTTTAATTTTGATGAAATCCAATTCATCCGTTTTCTCTTTTGCTTGTGCTTTTGGTGTCATATCTAAGAATCTGTTGTCAAAAACTAGATTCTGAAGCATGACCCCTATGTTTTCTTGTAAGAGTATTATGCTTTTAGCTCTTACGTTTAGGTCCTTGATCCATTTTTGAGTTAATTTTTGCATGTGGTGTGAGGTTAGGGTTCACCTTCATTCTTCTGCATGTAGAAATCCAGCTGTCCCAGCACCATTTGTTGAAGAGGCTATTCTTTTCCCCATTGAATGGACCTGGCACCCTTGTTGAAAATCAGTTGACCATAGTTGTGTAAGTTTATTTATGGTTTGAACCCACTAGCCACTCCACAGGAGAAAGATGTGGCAGTCTGCTTCTGTAAAGATTACAGCCATGGAAACCCTATGGGGCGGTTATACTCTGTCTTATAAGGTGGCTGTGGGTCAGAATTGACTTGGTGGCAATGAGTATTCATGAACATGGATGTCCTTCCATCTATTTAGGTTTTCTTTAATTTCTTTCAGTAATATTTTATAGTTTCAGTGTACAAATCTTTTACCTTCCTGGTTAAATTTATTCCTAGGTATTCTGTTCGTTTAGATGCTACTGTAAATGGAATTCTTTAATTTCATTTTCAGAATGTTCTTTGCTGATGTGTAGAAATCTGACTGATTTTTGTGTGTTGACCTTGTACCATCCTATTTTGATGAATTTTTTTTATTACCTCTGATAACTTTCATGTGGATCCCTTGGGGTTTTCTTTGTATAAAAAACAAAAACAAAAAACCCATTGCTGTCAAGTTGATTCTAACTCATAGCAACCCTATAGGACAAAGTAGAACTGCCGCATAGAGTTTCCAAGGAGCAGCTGGTGGATTCGAACTGCCGACCTTTTTGTTAGCAGCCTGAGCTCTTAACCACTGCGCCACCAGGGGTTCTCTTATCTGCTAAAACAGATTTTACTTCCTTCCCATTTCAGATACCTGTTATTTCTTTTTCTTGCCTAATTGTTCTGGCTAGGAGTTCTAGTACAATGTTGAATAGCTGGGTGAGAGTGGGCTTCCTCGATCTTAGGGGTAAGGTTCTGTTTTTCTCCTTTGAGTATGATGTTAGCTGTGGGGTTTTCATAAGTGCCCTTTATTACACTGAGGAATTCCCCTTCTATTCCTATATTTTATTTATGATGGAATTGTGTTGGATTTTGTCAAATGCCTTTTCTCCATCGATTGAGATGATCATGTGACTCTTTTTCTTTACTCTACTATCGTGGCATATTACACTGATTTTCTAATTTTGAACCATCTTTGCATTCCTGAGGTAAATCCCACTTGATCATAGTATATAATCCTTTCAGTATATTTTTGGAATCAGATTGCTAGTATTTTGTTAAGTATCTTTGTATCTATATTCAGTATGGATATTAGTCTATAGTTTTCTCTTCTTGAGGTGTCGCTGTCTGGCTTTGGTGTCGGGGTAATGCTTGCCTCATAATGAGTTAGGAAGTGTATCCTCCTCTTCTGTTTTTTGGAAAAATTTAAGTACGATTGGACTCATTTCATCTATAAATGTTTGTTTGAATTTCCCAGTGAAATTGTTTAGTCCATGACCTTTTTGGGAGGCAGTGGAGGTTTTCAATTACTTATTTAATCTCTTCACTTATTATAGGTCTGTTGAGAACTGTTATTTTGTCTTGAGTCAGCGTAGGGAGTTTATGCCTTTAAAGAAAGTTGTCTGTTTTCTCTAAGTTATCTAGTTTGTTGACATAAACAACCATCGAAAGTATTTCTTTATCATAAAATGATGTGGTGGAGGTGTCTGAGCTCCTCTAACTTCACAAGGGAAAAGGAGAATCAAGATCAGCAGCCCAAGGCTGATTGCTGTGAGGCAGAGGTCAGACATATCTCCGCTTGCCTGTTCTTTTTACCAATTCTAACACCAACCATCCCTCCCCTGGCACTCTCTTCTTGTCTGTTGAGTCCTATAATTCATTGCAGTGGCCACACAGAACTCACAGACCATACTCACAGTTATGGGGGTTTATTAGGGAAGTAACAGGTTACAGTTCAGGTTCAGGAACGCTCAGGATACAGTTCTTCCATCAGGACAGCCTCTTCTCATCCACGCCCTCAGGCACATCTCTCTCCGGGCAAGTGGTACAAACCTCTTTTAGCTCTGCCAGTAAGTGCCCAGAGGCACGCTACTCCACCAGTAAGCCTTGGCCTGAAGGCGCTCAGCTCTGGCTGCACCAAGTGCCTGGAGGCACCCTACTCTTCCAGCAAGCCTCCTGCCCAGAGGCACTCAGTTTTCTCACTCCTTGGGCAGGGAAGCCCACCACGCTGTCTTCTGGTTTCCTGCCAGTCTCCTGGTTCTGCTGCCTCTGCTGCTGCCATTTCTTTGCCGCTGCTTCTCACTGTCTTGCCTTCTTCAGTTACAGCTCTCTCTCTGTCTCCTGGGCCTAGGATGGTCTGAGCCCAGGGATCCCAGGTCCAAAGGACACACTCCACTCCTGGCTCTTCTTCCTTGGTGGTGATGAGATCCTTTCCTCCCATCTCTGGGATGGCTCATTTTAACCTAGTGGGATGGTAAAACTAACCAGTCCCTTAATTGGGGTTTTATATTTCTAATTTGCATATCCCACTCAGTCATTGTGTGTGAGTCACAAAGACTATGGCTAGAAGGGCCATATTAAGCAGTTCATTGCACAGCACTTACAGTCCTTTTTATTTCTAATTGTTAGTTGTAATGTCTCCACTTTCATTTCTAATTTTAGATATCTGCATGTTGTATTTCTTTGTCAGTGTAGTATATTGATCTTTAAAAAAAACTCTTAGTTTCATGGATTCTCTCTTTTTTTCTATTCTCTATTTCTGCTCTGATCTTTATTATTTTTTTTCTTCTAGTAGTCTTAGCTTTAGTTTTCACTTCCTTTTTCAGTTCCTCAGGTTATAGAGTTAAGTTATTGATTTGGGATATTTGCTCTTTTTCAAAATAGGTGTTTATTGCTATTAATTTCCCTCCAAGTACTGCCTTCACTGCATTTCATAAGTTTTGGTATGTTTTGTTTTCATTCTCATCTGACTGTATTTTTTTATTTCTCTCTTGATTTCTTCTTTACCCTTTGGTTGTTTAGTAGTATGTCATTTAATTTTCACGTATTTGCATATTTTCC